TCCATTGAACTGTAAACTCAAGGAGGTAACCATGTCCATTTACTTCACAGTTACATCCTCAGCACATAGCAGTGCTTAGGCCCCCAATACACAGCTAAAAGATAGTTCTGACATTGAACACTAGTAATGTTATTCAGGTAAGCCTAATTTTTTTTCTACCCACAATAATTGAATACATAGTTAAAATGATGTTAAAGCTTCCCAATTTTATGATATCTTATAAGGTGTAATACTGAATTCATTAAAAAAATTTTCAATAAATGATTTGGAACAATTTTTATCCTCTCAACATTTGAGATTCAATCTCTGGAGGACTAATGGTTCTTTCTGGCCTTCATTTGAGGTGCTCTTTACCCCCAATCAGTGTGTTTGCTTCATACATAGCCTATGACTCCTGCCTTCCAAGTAAAGTTGGCTTTTGCAGAGCAAATGAGGAAAATGAGGAAAACCTTAGCTGAGTAGTGGCACCAGTATGCAATTAGTACCTATTTGTCTTTTAATCTGATAAATGAGTTTTTAGGGATGCCTCTGAACCAACAGAAAAAAAAAATTACCATTTGAGGACCTCAACAGCTGAGTCTCTGATCTTCCGTAACCTCCCTTTCATCAGGCAAAGCCTCTTTCCCAAATTCCCCAGTTTAAAAACACATTTAAAATAATGTAATGTTGTCTCAACATAGCCTGCAGTGTTTTCATGAGCATTTTAAAATGTGTTTTTACATTATTTACTGAAAGGTTTCCTGCCATTTTCTGAGCTGATGCAAACAGGCTGGCAAGCTGTGATGTCCGTATCAGCTGGTAAACAGCGGTGATATATCACAGGATATAGGAATCCGACTTTCCTGATGCCCTTGGGAATATTCTTTAAGTAGCAGCCACGTGGCAAGGCCGAGGGTTTGATTATAATTACAGGTTTGGAGACAGCTAGAGTTTGACAATGGAGATCTGGGTCCTAGTCCTGCTGCCTGGAGACTCTGAGCAAAATGTCAACCCTCATTTCTTCATCTATGAAATGCATAAAGCTGCAGGGCTCCTGTGAGGATTAGGACCTAGAGAAGCAGTCAAGGGCAAGTAGTCGATCAGAGTTCAACAGACCTGGCTTCGAATTCTGATTTTGTTAATTTATTCAGCGTCTTGCAACCCGTATTTTGAATTGTGCTAAATAGTGTCTCCCTGATACCTGCTGTGAGAATTAAACGAGATAATGTATGTAACTCGCTTTGTCCAGCACTTGGCATACAGATAGCATCCAGTAAACATTGTCTGTACCACAATAACCCATAATAATAGTTTCAAGCTAGTCAGCACAAATTATTTAAAAGGACTTCCTCTAGATTGTCAAATTGTTTTAAGGGCAAGCGACCACCTGCTGTTTTTTAATGTGGCTGCGAATGTTTATCTTTCTTTAGTAGATGTTCTCTATAGGAAAACTGAAAACACCTGAGGACTAAAATCTAAAAGCCAGCAGCCCCTCTCCCTTCAAGCTCCCCAGAACCAAATCCAGTTAACACTAGGCTAAGCCAAATCAAGGGATCCCGGGTACTGACTGCATGCTGTTGGCGGGCGGTGCATTCCGACCCTTTGAGATTAAGGGGGTGCAGGTGAGAGCAATTGCAAAGATGCAAGATCTGATGGGAATGGCTGGTCGCGGAAGCCGCCCGAGGCGATCGGCTTTCAACCTCATCGCTGCTGGCCCTGCTCTCATCTCCTCCCCAGGCCTTTATACGCATGCAACTATTTCTCAAAGCCGCATCAGCCGCATCCGCTGCTGGAATCCAGTTTTGGCCACTTAAATCTCGTGAGTGAAGAAGCGGGGTCTTCTGGCCGCGAACGGGCGACGCCTGCGCGCCGGGGGCCGGGCCGAGCGCGCCATCCCTGCCCGCAGGGGCGGCCTGGTGCGGCCCGGGCATCCGCGGCCCGGCGCGGCGTCGAGATGCTCGCGGGCGTTGCGGGCGCCCCTTTTGGCGGGCTCCGCAGCCCCGAAGCTCCGCCCCCCGGCGCGGGCCTCCGCGCTTGCGGAGGCGGGCGCCGCGCGCCCATTGGCGGAGCGGCTCGCGGTAGCCCCGCCCCCTCCCGGCCCCGACGCGAGCACGTTGGGCGGCGGAGCATCATCCAGACTATTTTTGCCACTGAGAAAGGAGGCATTGAGTGGTTATTAAGAGTGTGGGCTTTGGAGACAGGCTGCCTGGGTTAGAATCTTCTTCTGCTGCTTATAATCCAAATGGCCTTAAGAAAGTGAACCACTCTCTCTCGCAGTTACCTTATCTTTTAAAAAAGGGACACCATTAGTACTTTGTGGGAATTAATGAGGCAATACATGTTAATGCTCTTATCCAAGTGCCTGACACACAGAAAGTGCTCAGTGACTCTTCTTACTAGTTTGCTGTGTGCTTTTGGGCTACTGTCTTCCTGTTTTTAAAACGAGGAGTTGTACTGGATTCTTTTTGTTTCCAAGTTGAAAAAGGTGATTATGGTCCCTGGATATTTAATTATATACTGTCTGATACTGTTTCTTGTACTGTGGTTAATGCTTCTTGCATTGCAGTTTTGTCCTTTCCTGAAGGTAGGGGACAACATAGGTTTTATACTTTTAACCTTTGGAAGCCCTTGCTCCAAACCAAGTCCAAGTACATCTGTGGTAGCTCTTCCCCTTGCACCTTCCCCCAGATATGCTGTCTGTATGCTCTGCATATATATACATATATACAAACATGCATATGGATATCCTCTGTATCTTTGTTAGTTTTCCTGAGATAGGTAGGATTTAGCAAATTTGTGCCCACTCTATCCCTCTCCAGTAGCTGACTCTTAACTTTTAGGTCCCTACTTAGCCGTCACGATAGATACAAGTTTTATATACAAGATATATTCTCCATTGAACTGTAAACTCAAGGAGGTAACCATGTCCATTTACTTCACAGTTACATCCTCAGCACATAGCAGTGCTTAGGCCCCCAATACACAGCTAAAAGATAGTTCTGACATTGAACACTAGTAATGTTATTCAGGTAAGCCTAATTTTTTTTCTACCCACAATAATTGAATACATAGTTAAAATGATGTTAAAGCTTCCCAATTTTATGATATCTTATAAGGTGTAATACTGAATTCATTAAAAAAATTTTCAATAAATGATTTGGAACAATTTTTATCCTCTCAACATTTGAGATTCAATCTCTGGAGGACTAATGGTTCTTTCTGGCCTTCATTTGAGGTGCTCTTTACCCCCAATCAGTGTGTTTGCTTCATACATAGCCTATGACTCCTGCCTTCCAAGTAAAGTTGGCTTTTGCAGAGCAAATGAGGAAAATGAGGAAAACCTTAGCTGAGTAGTGGCACCAGTATGCAATTAGTACCTATTTGTCTTTTAATCTGATAAATGAGTTTTTAGGGATGCCTCTGAACCAACAGAAAAAAAAAATTACCATTTGAGGACCTCAACAGCTGAGTCTCTGATCTTCCGTAACCTCCCTTTCATCAGGCAAAGCCTCTTTCCCAAATTCCCCAGTTTAAAAACACATTTAAAATAATGTAATGTTGTCTCAACATAGCCTGCAGTGTTTTCATGAGCATTTTAAAATGTGTTTTTACATTATTTACTGAAAGGTTTCCTGCCATTTTCTGAGCTGATGCAAACAGGCTGGCAAGCTGTGATGTCCGTATCAGCTGGTAAACAGCGGTGATATATCACAGGATATAGGAATCCGACTTTCCTGATGCCCTTGGGAATATTCTTTAAGTAGCAGCCACGTGGCAAGGCCGAGGGTTTGATTATAATTACAGGTTTGGAGACAGCTAGAGTTTGACAATGGAGATCTGGGTCCTAGTCCTGGTTTTGCTGCCTGGAGACTCTGAGCAAAATGTCAACCCTCATTTCTTCATCTATGAAATGCATAAAGCTGCAGGGCTGCTGTGAGGATTAGGACCTAGAGAAGCAGTCAAGGGCAAGTAGTCGATCAGAGTTCAACAGACCTGGCTTCGAATTCTGATTTTGTTAATTTATTCAGCGTCTTGCAACCCGTATTTTGAATTGTGCTAAATAGTGTCTCCCTGATACCTGCTGTGAGAATTAAACGAGATAATGTATGTAACTCGCTTTGTCCAGCACTTGGCATACAGATAGCATCCAGTAAACATTGTCTGTACCACAATAACCCATAATAATAGTTTCAAGCTAGTCAGCACAAATTATTTAAAAGGACTTCCTCTAGATTGTCAAATTGTTTTAAGGGCAAGCGACCACCTGCTGTTTTTTAATGTGGCTGCGAATGTTTATCTTTCTTTAGTAGATGTTCTCTATAGGAAAACTGAAAACACCTGAGGACTAAAATCTAAAAGCCAGCAGCCCCTCTCCCTTCAAGCTCCCCAGAACCAAATCCAGTTAACACTAGGCTAAGCCAAATCAAGGGATCCCGGGTACTGACTGCATGCTGTTGGCGGGCGGTGCATTCCGACCCTTTGAGATTAAGGGGGTGCAGGTGAGAGCAATTGCAAAGATGCAAGATCTGATGGGAATGGCTGGTCGCGGAAGCCGCCCGAGGCGATCGGCTTTCAACCTCATCGCTGCTGGCCCTGCTCTCATCTCCTCCCCAGGCCTTTATACGCATGCAACTATTTCTCAAAGCCGCATCAGCCGCATCCGCTGCTGGAATCCAGTTTTGGCCACTTAAATCTCGTGAGTGAAGAAGCGGGGTCTTCTGGCCGCGAACGGGCGACGCCTGCGCGCCGGGGGCCGGGCCGAGCGCGCCATCCCTGCCCGCAGGGGCGGCCTGGTGCGGCCCGGGCATCCGCGGCCCGGCGCGGCGTCGAGATGCTCGCGGGCGTTGCGGGCGCCCCTTTTGGCGGGCTCCGCAGCCCCGAAGCTCCGCCCCCCGGCGCGGGCCTCCGCGCTTGCGGAGGCGGGCGCCGCGCGCCCATTGGCGGAGCGGCTCGCGGTAGCCCCGCCCCCTCCCGGCCCCGACGCGAGCACGTTGGGCGGCGGGGGCAACCGAAGAACTAACTGCCCGAGCGAGAAGCGGCGCCTGGGGCCGGGTGGCACGGTTGGGGCGCCCGCCTTGGGGCCCCCGAGCGGCTGCTGGGTCGGGAGCCACGGTCACGGGGGGAAGGGGGTGGGTGGGCTGAGGGCAACTAGGCGGCGAGGACAGCCCGCCGCCCCTTCCCCCCAGCCCCGTCGACCTTGTGGGCAGAAACGTCCCCGGAGCCCGTTCCGCCGGCGCGATGGCGGCTGCTACCGAGACGGAGGCCTCCCCGCCGACGGACGCCAGCTGGGAAAGTGGCGGCGGCGGGAACGACGAGCTGAAGCAGGCGCTTCCGGAGCTGGAATCCTCCCCACAAGATGGCGGCGGCGGCGGCCAGAGCATCGCGGAGCCCGGCGGCGGCGCCGGGCCTCAGGAGACGGCAGCGTCCTCGGCCGCCCCGGGCCTCGGCCACGAGCAGCCTCAGGACTCCTGTGAGGCGGGCGCGGCCGCCCTGCCCAAAGGCCCCGAAGAGCCCGAAAGGCCCGTTAAGAGGAGTTTTCAGATCCCCAGGAAGAGCAGAGAAAAGAAAGGTGGTGCTTCCCCTCCTCCCCAACCCCTCTCTCTCTCCCCCTCCATCTTTCCATTAGAGCCTCTCTGTCTCCTCTTCCCACACCCACCCGAGACACGTAAACACGCCTGCAGCGCCGGCCGCCCGCGGCTGCGCGTGGTGCGAGAGGAGGGCGGTGGAAGCACGCGCCCCTGCTCCCCCTCGCCCCGTGGAAGCTGGAAGCAGCTCGGGTTTGAAGCCTGACCGTCAGGCTGCAGCTCCCAGAGGAAAGATGGTGCTCGGCGCCCCTCCCAACCCCGGAAGGCAGAGAAGCTGCTGGGCCCGCCTAAGGATGCTTCTGACACGCCTCGCCGTGGCAATGGCCCGTGGCCATGGATTCGGGGCTTTCCCCACGGCCGCTGCGTCCAGAGGACCACGAGTGCTGCTTGCTGTGGAAGTTCTTCAGCTCTCTGTCTGCTTGGAATCTGCTCGATGTCAGCGTCTTCCCTTGTTTAGAATCTCCCATTAGATGTGATCCACGCACACTGCTGTTTTCCATCACACTTCATTTCCATGTAGATTTTTTCCCCCCTTGTTTTCCAAGCGTTGGATTAAATAGGTCTCTCTCTCTCTCTCTTTAAACCCAAACTTTAGTATGATTTTTTTTTTCTTGTACTTGAGAAGAATGGGAAGGTAGGTTCTTGGTGCAGTAATTTCCCTGTGGGAAAAGAAAGTGGAGGTTAGCTAATGCCCCTCAGAGTCACCAACTTGATCTTGAAGATGAGTGAACTTCAGCCGTAAGAAGTCCAGTCTAGTTTTTTTGGAACCAATACAGGAACAGCTAGCACGAACTACATTTACCCTTTTTATAAACTTAATGCCATATTGTGACACATTTCTAGTGGAGATCATAATTAGTATTATCGTTTTCTACTGTAATACTGTATTTTGACTTATCCAGTGATTTGAGATATTCTGGATTTAGTCCAGAGCCTCATTGTTTTACCGCGTGATTCAGTTTTTCATCATTTCCTTTGGGAATAGTAGGAATTTTACTTGCAGAAACCTTTATTTGTAATATCAGTCTTAGGAAAGACTTAGAATCTTGAGTGAAGCGCTTCCTCTGCTTGTGCGTAACCAGCTCCATTTGCGCAACTGAAATTATTAGAACCTTTTAGCAATAAGATGCAAATAAAGCCAGACTGTTAACTTCTATTTGGATGACGCAGCCAAGGAACTCCTTGGTGTGAGAAACCATGTTGACAAAGGTGAACCCTTTTGTCTACTCCCATGAGGAATGTTTCTAGAAAGATCTGGTGAGTTAATGTTACGTGTTTTAGGGTTGAAGAGGATACTTGTAAGGTCAGGATTGTCAGTTCCTTTGGTTATTTAGATGTATGGAATGGTCTGAGGAAAGGTAGATGCCCGGCCTAAATTATCAATTGGAGGAGAATAGGTTGGAAGTACATTCAGGTGGACTCTGTTTATGAAGTAGGAGATTGAGCTCTTTTCTTTTTTCTAGCTTGATAAAATTTTGTCTTATTTTTTTTTAAAGGTTTCAAGTACCTAAGAATATGGTTTATGGTACATCATAAACCACGGATGTGTACCACCTTTTGACTTTTGACAAAGAGCTGGCCTAGAAACCCTCAGTTTGGTTTGGAATGGGGAAAGACTAGGAAATTTTGGAAGGCACCATGTGTGCCTGTGGTTTTTTTTTTTAATGAGGAAAATCCAGAGCTTGCTGTAAAAACAGACTTCATTTGAACACGCTTAAAGTGGATATAATTGAGGAATTAGGAAACAACACCTAGGTTTCTCCCCTGAGTCTGATGCTCCTTGGGGAAAATTGTTTTACGTTTTCACTTAGAGGCAGATGGTTCTTAACCTATCTCCTCCTGTCAGGGAGATTGTGGGTAAGGAAAATGTAACAGTGGACTTTTTCGGCATTCAGTAAAAAAAAATGTGAGTAATTTTTAACTTTTCTGAACATAGACCGAGCGGCAGCCGTTCAAATAGTGCAGTAACGATTTAAATACAGCTTTAAGACTTAAATGAGCAGCTATTTTGCCACCATAGGCTTTATCCTGTTCCAAGCTGAGAAGAGTTAGTGCTTGGTGATAGAGTTTAATAGAAAAATTCAGTTTTTCATAATTAAAAGTTTTATCGTGAACAGTGTAGAGGTGCCGTTAGTTTCATACTTCATCCCAAAATCTCTTGGAAGGCTTGAAAGTTACCACTTTATAGGATCTGGCTAGGTATTTGCTGTTTTCATCTCGAGTCTTTTATCATGAATATTAGATCATTTTCAGTAGATGGCTCTGCTTGAACTTTTCAGTATCAAAGGTTCTGTTGCGTTCGTATTTTAATATGGCAGACCGTTGCTTGGGACGGATGTTTTGGAGAAATGTAACATAAGGACTTGAATATTTCTGGAACCTTAAAGGTAAAAAATACTGTGAGATTTGTAATGTGTTGACTCAAAATGCTTTTGGTCTTGCATTGGTGTTTCAGTAGTTATGTATGAATTATGAATGATTGGGTTGTACTACCATAGATTTCCCTTCATAGAAGTAAACCTGTAAGCAGAATCCACTATATGAAACATTTGATAGGTGTATGCAGATTTTAACTAATGGAGGTAAAATTTTTTTTGACTTATTCCCAAATCCAAAAAAAGAAGTTTCAAATTTGTACTTACCTCTCAAGATCTCTGCCAGCATATTCATTCCTAATTCTTCATTATGTTTAATTTTGATATAGAGATGAAACACCCATTCCTGAAGTGTTGTCTGTAGCAATTTTATTACACTGAGGAAAAGCGATTTTTACAATGACTTAATGTAAATTATTGTGAGGAACAAATGGATATTTACTGTAGTTTAATCCTTATTATAAGTAGGTATCAGAGATGGATTCAGAGAGAAGTGCAGACCACGTGATCCCCAGTGCAGCTGCGTTTTCCTTTTTTCCCATCAAATATTTAAATTAGAATATACATTTCATAATGTCCATTTGTAGATTTGATAATGGTCTGTATTTTAAGTTTAGCTGGTATTTACAAACATGTATACGTGGTAGTTTTTAGGTATATACACACAATACAAATCCAGAGATTGGCATTGATACTGATTTGGTAAAAGTAATTGAGGAAAAATGTTTCTTCGATTAAGGAACAGAATTACCACTTGACCTAAATTTTATGTCTATCCCAACTGACTAAATATAACATTAAATCCTTGCATATGTTTTGTATGTTACCAGTAATAAAACATATTTAATAGTAGTATGGACTGGGAGTCAGGAGACTTGAATTCGAGGTCTCATTCTGTGGTACAGTTTCCTCATCTGAATTAGAAATATCCAAGGCCTTTCTTACTGTGTTTTTCAATGCTATAAAACATCTATAATCAGTTTTGTCAATGGAAACCTTGTGAATTATCAAAAACCAACTTTATCCATATCTGTGACATGCATTTGATGGATGTCCTGTAAATAAGTAAAGCTAAGAAGAGCTATTTAACTGCTGTTTAGCTTTATACATCAAAAAAGGGCATTAGTTACAACTTTTGGCCCTTTTAAGTGCATTAGAGAAATACATAAGATATTTGAGAGTAGACATAACGAGGGAAAACAAAATTCTAGACATAACTCTTAGAGCTTATTTCCTTCTTCAGTGTTCTATATGGTTTCCTGGTCTAAAATGAGGAAACAATTACATTGTTCCAGCTCTTGTAATGATTAGTTTCAGCTCATTTATGTACGTTTTTGCTTTTATTTTAGTCCAGGATACAAGATTTGGAGCTAGGTAGCCCAACTGCCCTACTCATTCAATAACTAATACTGGGCCAAGTCGATTGATAGCTGTTACAGTTTTCATTTGTGAAATGGGTATAATGAAGTTCATAGGATGGTTTTGATGATTAAAAATACATGTAAAGCCAGTGAAGACAAGTAGTGATTCTATAGCATCTTACTACGCTGATGGATAGTGACCATAATGGGATGTGTGTGGGGGACTTGGTGAAGGGGGGAGCCTTGTAAACATAATGTTCTTCATGTAATTGTAGATTGATGATAAAAAAAAATTGCAAGAGTAAAGGTAACCACAAGACCCAAAATAAGGAACTTTACTAAATGTCAATATATGCATCTACATAGGAAACATAGGATCTACATTTTTTAATTCCTGGTTATAAAGTATTTTGATTTGTAACTGAACATACCAGTGATAACAATAAATGTCAATGGGCTTTACTTACCTATTAAAAACATTTACAATTTGGCTTACAATATAAAACCCAAGTATATGTTCTATATCAGACACCTACCTAAAATAATTTTTCAATTATTCTAAAAATAAAGGCTAGACAAAGGTGAAAAAAAGCATGTAAAGCTCTTAGTACAGTGTCTGAAAAGTAGTGTGACCCACTATTGGTTAGACTTAATAATAGAATCCAGGGAACAGTATATTGGATACTGGCCTCCTTAAGTAAAAGGGATGATGAGTAAATAAAGTATTCTGTTCCTCATTTTTATAGTCACAGGGCTGAAATAATGGCCCGTAATTACAATTATGATGTATATATTTTCTTAAAAAATCAGTGACATGGGGTATGCTTATCAGGGTGTACATAATGTTAAGGGCAAAATAGGCCACCAGGAAATGGACATTCAGAACATAAACTTGTTAAATTTCTTAAGTGTTACCAGCTCATTGATTTGAAATGCTTAAAAATAGTTACAGCATAATTTTATTTTTGTAAAAATAGTTGGGTAGAAAAAATAGAGACTATGGTCTAACTAGTAAAGCCACCTGAGGTATTTGAAATATAAAATGCCTAGACATAGCTATCTATTGAGAGACCTAAAATCTCAGCACCTTCCATATTTTTCATTCACAAGAAATTTTTTCCCACTGGCAGTCTACTAGGGTACATCTGATAAAACTATAGGACATTGCTTTGTAATGAAACAAATGTTAAATACTTTTTTTAGAATAATTTGTTAATTTCTATATGACTGTATGACTTAAATTTTCACTTGTGATTAGACTGTGGAAATAATTGGGTCAGTTTAAGGAAAACTAGTTTTATAATTTTGTGCAAATTTGAAGCCATGTGATACTTTTTGGCATATTTAAGACATCTGAAGTCACTTTGCTTAGAAATACAGAAATCAATTATGCATAAAACCCAACTTTTAAAATCATGCTTGGCTCATTTTGGGTGTGGAAACCTATAAAGGCTATTTCACATGCTGTTTTCCCTGCCAAGTTTTTCCCAGTTTAGTTGGGGACAGTCAAAAAGATAACAGTTTTTACTACCACATCCTGTAAAATAGATTTGAGTTGAGAGTATGTATTTCTCTCTTGAGCTTTCTTGTCTGTATTAGTGAGTTGTTGAATTTGTGAGACCTAATTTAAAATGACAGTTTTATTTTGTAGTTGTAGAGTATATTTGTATTCGGTATAAAATCTTGACGAATTTGATTATCATTTTCTCTACTCACCTATTTAGTCATTTAGCTTAGAGTTCTAGCTACTGGTAAATGTTAAGGTAATGAACAAGGCAGAAAAAGTTCCCACTGGCATGGAGCTTATAGTCAATAGATACTGAATATATTCATCTGTCAAACTTGACTGTAGGATACTTTCTGTGTTTAATACTTTTTGAGTGATTTATTTTTTGCCCTGCTTATTTTCAGTGTCTTTGTTTTACTGTAACTATTTTGGCTTTCTTACTTTTTCTTTTAAGTGTGCGATCCCAAAGTAATGGGATCCATTCGTTCAACACACATTCTATCACCGAAAGCTACATTTTTACAGACACTTGTAATATACATGGTTTGGTAAATGAATGGATGAATGCTCTTATCATCTGACACCATGTTCTTAAAACCTAATGACTATACAATAAAAACAGTTGATTAGTTGCTGTCTAGTACCTTGGAGAGTATGTACAATGAGAACATGACATTTTCAGAAGTGAACTAAAAGTATTTTATGACATTTACTGACACTAAAAATTATCTTGAAGAAATAAGGTAGTAGAGTATAAGTTTCTATGAATGCTTCTATCTACAAGGAAAAATCAAATTGTTCCCTTTAAGTTTGAGAAAAACTTACAGATTTGGTGTTTGAAATCTAGGAAGTTAAAACTATTTCATGCATAAAATGGAAAGTTGAGGTTATTAAACCAGTAATCCACTAAGAACAAATTGAATATTTGACTATTAAGCGTTTTAAAGTTTAAATAGGGGGTAAAATAGTTGGAGGAGTGGGGAGTAAAAATGTCTGTTTGTCTTTGCATCAAATGCTGTACTCAGCTTTTTCCGTGTGCTGTCTCATGTGGCATGTGGCATATAATGATTAGGATAGCTAGAGTTTTTTTGTTTTTTAAATAGATGGGAGAACTGAGCTCATGTTTTATAAAAGTAATTGATTTACCCACAGTTTCCACAAAGCCAGTAGATGTTAGATCTGATATTTGCATCCAGGTTTGAGTCCAAAGCTGCACATCTTTCCATTTTACAAAGTTTTCATAATAAATGTCCTACTATATATTGGTAATACCAGAAATCACTGGATGTAGCATACTTTATTCTAACAACTAAATAGAATCATTTTATTTTATAGACACCTAAGTGTCTTAAATGTTTCCATGCTTTCATTTATGGTGTGAGCAGACCTAGACATACTGCTTCAGTATAACAGTTAAAAATAGGAAATCATGCAAGTTGTTAGATGCACAGGTTCTTACGAGAGTCTTTAAGCAATTTAAGTATGTATCATCCCTGATGTTTGCAAAATTGTAACCTCTGTCTTCATGTGTAATGCCAGCTGCTTTTTGCTGAAGAAACTGATCAGTAGGTAACTAGTTGTACATTTTCTTCAGTGAATTAATGTTATCTTTGCATTTCACAAAATAAAAATAGCCCTCATGCTTTTTTTTTACTTTATTTAAAAATTATATTAACCCACAAAAATATAAGAATACATTTAAGGTGGAATGATCTTAAAATTAATGTTTTCCATTTTAGCACTTTTTCAGCCATTAACTCCAGGCTCTCGAGAATTTGAAGATGTTTTAAATATTCTCCATTCATCTTACCTTGAACCAACCTCAGTAACAAATTTTAACTACAAACGTGCTTGCTTGATACATAATGAGCTTTTGGAAAAGGAGGTATGTTTTAAATTGTGCATATTGTAAGATTCTTCAGATCCAGTGAATAGCCTGGAATTTGTTTTACTTCCTGTTCTTTAAAAATGCTTCAGTTTTTAGGAAAACCAAATTATGGAATTGAAAACAAACTTTAAATGACAGATTTTTTTCTCCCAAACGTTTATAGCGCTGTACTTATCTGCTCTGTTAAAGTATGATTATGTAAAGTAACTTCTTTTACTAAAAATAAATCCGAAGCATAGGGATAGCTTACTGCACAATGGCTCTGTTGTAAATTCATCATGAGGCTTTTTTGCTCTTTCATGTCCATGTTAATTAAATAGAACCTCCAATACTATGTCCAAATGGAGAGATGGTTAGTGAAATCAAATGTGTATTCAAAACATTTTTTTAGGATATACTTAATTTTTTCTCCAGTTATTAACAAGTAACTACATTGTCTTAATGTCCTCACCAGAAATTCTTAGTGAAAAAAATGTGAACAAAGAGGAACAGTTAAAGCATGTCAGATAGTGAACTGAAGTTTTGTGCACAAATTAGATTATTCTTTGGTTTGATTTAGGAAAACCCAGCAGGTGTAATTCTTAGGTAATACAATTGAGATGTTTAGCAATCTTTGATATGTATTGTTTTCTAATATACATGAAATACTATTAATTTTGTACTTTTATGAGTCGGTTAACTTAGTGCCAGAATTTAGCTTTGAATGAATCCCTAAAGTGGATGAATGTTACTGGCTCCCAGAGAAAATTAAGCCTTGGTAGTTTGATGTGGTTTCGTGGTATTTATAGAGATTATTAATTTTATATGAAAATTTAGTCTAAAGTTCCATTAATTGTAATGTTGAAGAGTAATGGCCTGAATACCATATATAAATCTATTACATATGGGCACCATATTCAGAATGTACAGTTGACCCTTGAACAGTATGGAGGTTGAGACATCCTCCCACCATCAAAAATATGTGTATAACTTCTAACTCCCCCCAAAACTTAACTAATAGCCTACTTTTGACTGGAAGCCTTACAGGTAACAAACAATTGATTATACATATTTTGAATGTTTGATGTATTATGTATTATATTCTTAAACTAGCAAAAGGAAATTTTTTTCAAGTTGGTGCAAGCCTCCAAAATTTTTTCCAATATGTTTACTGAAAAAAATCTGTATAAGTGGACCTGTGCCATTCAAACGCCTGTTGTTCAAGGATTAGCTGTATGTTTATTTGCTTGTATCTAAAAGGAAAACCAGCAGTGTAGGGTGACTTAGAGTTCAGATGTACTTGGACCAGATCACTCTTTTATCCTGGAAATATGTATGGAGCATGTCTTACATACTTGGCATTGAGCATATAGTTAAAAGAAATGAGACATTTGTTTCTTTTCCTAATTGAGTTTGTAGTTTAAAAGTTGGTCATTAAACAGAGATTAGTTAAAACACCTACTGTATGCAGTACACCATCCTGAGAAAATGAGAGATCCAAAGATAAATAAAACTTGAAGATCTGTCTGAGAGTTGGACGGTGGTTCAATATTAATAGAAATTTAGTTACATTGATAAACACCAAATGCTTATTTAACTAATAATTAAGAGGCAAGTATAATAGGGAAAAAATTGAAGTGCAGATAATTACATGGAGAGAATTTCTACTTAGGTAGATTTGGAATTTCTTAGAAATAAAGTTACTGAAACTCTTGGCTTGAAAAACAATCATGTACTAAGAAGGAATTATAGTTTTAATTTTGTTTAGTTTACAGAAAAGCGAAGAGAACTGAAGTTTGATGGTCGTTTAGATAAAGAACTTTCAGAATCTTACGCATTTCTGATGGTTGATCGATACCAGGTTAGTGAACCTGTTTTATAAAAAACAATTGGAGGATGTTTCCATTGTAAGTTACTAATTTTTCAGTTCAATAATATACTTGGTAATTACAAACTAACATTTTCACAATGTATAAGGGAGCAAACGATTTTGTAGGGATAGATATTTCATTATTTTGTCATTTATTTTTCAGATGTGCATTTTTTCCCTGACCAAACCTTTTTTCCCCCTACAATGTGCTTGATGGTAATTTTCCCTTCATTATAATAGATTATCTTGTATATTGTTGATTATATGTGCCAGGAATTGTTTTTCTCCTTTAATTGAAGATGTTTAGGTGGAGTTTCTTTCTCCTTAAATATTTTGCCAGTCTAATTCTGTCTAAAAGGAGATGTTTGTATATATGAGTGGCATTAATTTTGAGTATCTGTCACACACATCAGTGTAAATGAAAATGGATTCCAGGTATGGTTACATTAGAAGGGTAAGCCAGTTTCACATTGATACTTAGTCATAAATTGGCATGTATGTAAAACTTCTGTAATGTAGAACATAGTTTAGGCTTTAAGCAAATTTACAGATTACTTATTCATGTTTTTAATGTATACAAGATGAAGTGTTTTGTTTATTTAGGTTCAAAGCATATGTGAAAAAGGATTACAAGTGGGCCAGTCCAAAATAACAATTCTTGGCAGTCCTTCCATGGGTAATTTTTTTTCTTTTTTCATTTATGTACTATTTAGTTGACATTTAAAAATATGTTATCTAATTTTGCTGCAGTCCTTATACTTAAACTCGTGTGCTTTGTCATGTTCTCAGGAAAGAAAACTAGTTTCAGGTTCTTCAATGTAAAGCCAGTTTTATCATTTTTGCGTACTACTTACATGTAAAATAATGTGATTTTGCATACTCCAGACTGATTAAACATCATCTTTTTTGTCTTAATCTAGTCCTAGTGATTTTGAAAATTTGATTAGTTTCATGTTTGTCTGGTTTTGTTTTTGCTCTGGTTAAATAGTAGCTATCTTTACTGTCACTACGTTTTTAAAAAGGTGTCATCTTTTATGTATTATCATTAGGTTAAATATTTGGATTCTTTTTTGTGTTTGTGTCTATGTTCAAATTCTTTAATTTTTCTGTTTACTAGGTATCTATCTATCTCGGTATGCTGATTTATTACAAGCTAATCCTTTGGAAGCTGGGGCAGTGGGCGATGTTGTTCTTTTTAAAATAATGAAGGTAATTTCAGCTTTTACATTTCCTAGATTAAACATTTGATTTTGAATTTTAGTTTACCCTGTGTTTAGGTGTTTGATTAAATTGAAGATTATAGCTTGCTTGTGCTTGAGGTATACAGTTGTGTTTGAGAGTGGTCTGCCAGCTTTGATATAAGCTCAGCTTACTTCAAAGTTTGCTTTCCTTCCCAAAGAAGAGACGGTAGTGTGTTGGTAATGTACTGGGGCTAGTGAAAAGTATTGTGAATAAATTTTTACTTCCTTGTTTTTAAACAATCCTAACATTTTTTTTTTCATGGTTAACTTTTTCTTACTGCTTCAATATTGATAGAAAATGTGGGGCACTGGGAAAGGACTGTTAACACAGGTGATCTAATATAAAAGTATTCTGTAATACTAATTTCATATCATCAGCAACTAGGTTTAGGTAGACTGAAAAGGTTTTCTCTATTTTAGGGTAAAGTAAAGAGTATATACGACTCCATGGGTGTAAAAAGTTTGGAATCTGTATTGAATAAAAGTGCTCTGGACCCAACCCCAAAGCATGAATGTCATGTGTCGAAGAATGCCAGTAGAGTCACATCACTTTTGGCCTATCGAGCCTATGAGCTCACTCAGGTAGGTGCCTGGATCCATTTTTAGTGTTATGACCTCATATTGGTTTGTCACCAAATCCTTGAAAATGTCTCACTTTTAGTTCCTACTGCCACCACTGCCGTCTAGACCGGTTTCCACATAGTGTTGCGTACTCCTGTGTCTCACTGCTGTTGCTTCAGTGTTTTCCTGGACTGCTCAGGAACATGCAGTGGCTCCCCAGACTCACAAAGTGATACTCAGATGCCTTACTTAGTCTAACTCTCCCTTCCTGTAGATTATGACCTCCATGACCTCCATCTTGGGTTTTTTTTGTTTGTTTGTTTTGGTATGATGACTGCCCTCAACACACCTCATTTTGTTTTGAAGCCTTGGCTTCTCCTGGTCTAGAAATACCTCCTGTGTAATAAGGTACTTAAGGCTTTGTTCACATGTAATTGGTGTACAGTAAACTACAGAGACTTAAAAGTTACAGTGATTGATGAATTTTAGTTGTGTATTTTTATATGATTAACTGCAGTAGTCTTCCCCATTATTTGAGGGAGATATATTCCAAGACCTCCAGTGGATACCTAAAACCACAGATAGTACTGAACCCTCTGCATACTGTTTTTTTCTACACATATCTATGAGAAAGTTTAATTTATAAATTAAGCACAGTAAGAGATTAGCAAAGAAAGTAACAAACTAGAACAATGATAACAGTGCTGTTATAAAAGTTATATGCATGTGGTCTCTCTCAAAATAACTTACTGTACTGTACTAACCCTTGTAACGATGTGAGATGATGACATGCCTGTGTGGTGAGATGAAGCAAGGTGAGTGACACCATCATTGTGATGTAGGCAGCATTCAGCTGGTAACCTCCTGACCACAGATCTGAAGGAGGATCGTGGGCTTCCATACCACAGTTGACTGCGTGTGACTGCAGAAAGTGAAACCCCAGATAAGGGAACTACTGTGTGAAATAATGTTGTTCTTTTTAACAAACACATAAAAAATGTATATATGCAAAGAGATTCGGTGTGAAAAACAGTGGTGCTAACGTCTCTGAGAACATTCTTTAATTTTCACTTTTATTTACATAAAATAAAATGAATACCTGTTCCTTTCTTTTGAAGAACCTGTTCCTGTTGTTGGGTGCTTTTAGCAAAAATTATATTCACCAGTCATCTGGGTCAATTCATCTGATTACCTTCTGGACAGTAGTAGAATTGGTAGATACGAGATATAACTATAAAGTAATAATTGGTTTTTCTAGCAGAACTTGTAAACTGGCTCAGTGTTTACAAAAAATCTCCAGGCATTTCTAGAGCAGCGTTACTGAACATTATTTCAACGAAATTATTGAAATCAATAGTTTGCTAAGAGAGTGGACTTTGACAGTGCTTTGTTTATAAAGTAGGGCATTGTTTTAATGAAAATCATTAGTCTACAGGTCATGGAGCCCTCATGTAATGAGTGTTGTGAATAGACGAAGGGAAGGAGTAGTTACACAGGCGGGGGAGGGTGTGCTGCCCTGTCACCAGGGTTTGCGATCTCTCCCATCTCCCCTTTGCTGCTTTGCCTGCAGCTGGAGCCAATAATGTGTTTTTCTTTTGAAATAATGAACAAAATGGTAGTTTGGTTGAGATTATTTCTAATATTTTCCTTTTTTGTATCAGATTGGCTTTTCTGGGCTGACCTGGGAGCTTAGGCTCCATTTGCAACATTTTTCTAGGAAATTTGTTGCATACTTTCTGGGGTCAGCTCTGCAGAAGTAAACATTTTTAATACCTGTTAGTATTCTGGCATCCGATACATACAGAAGCAGAACGTTTTACATCAGAATGAATATGAAGTGCACATTTTTTAGTTACATTGGCACACAGTGCTTACAGGTGTTTTCTGTTAGAGGCATTTAAATGATATATTTCTCAAAAATCAGACAGATAAAGATTTCACTCCACATGTCACCTTTCTCAAGAAACTAATTTTGTGTTTTCTTATTTTTAGTATTATTTTTATGAGTATGGCTTTGATGAGCTGAGGCGAAGACCAAGACATGTGTATCCATATGCAGTTGTGTCTTTTACTTATAACGATGATACACAAATTCCAAAGTTTGCCCCTTCATTGAGGTAAGACTTAGGAGTTGTGGACATCATCCAGAGTGGAATATTACTAACCCTGCGCTGCTGAGTTAGGAGGAGCACCTTGTGTGCCTTTCCTGTTTTTTACCCCTTGAAATTAATCAGATACATTAGTATTCATGGTCATTGTGGAAATACAAACTAAAATTTAGTTAAACCTCAGTGGTTAGCCTTTTTTTCTTGATAGTGAAGGTTAAGAGTGCATAAACATAGGGGTGCATATGTCTTTGAATCAGGGATTTTGTTTTCTTCAGGTAAATCCCTAGAAGTAGAATCACTAGGTTGAATGGTATTTCTATTTTTAGCTTTTGAGGAACCTCCGTACTGCTTACCACAGTGACTACACCAAATTCCCACCAGCTGTTTCTGCACATTTTTCTACATCCTCACCAGCACTTTGATTTCTTGTCTTTTGGATAGTAGTGCTTTTTTCATGTGAGTAAATAGCCCTGGAAATCACCATAGCCACAAGTACCAGTTCACATAATCTTGTCTACACAGCTGTATTTTTCATCCTTTTTGTGGTTGTATATGATCTCCGTTACACATTTACTATAGTGCCTTTCAACAGTGAATCTTTAAAAGACAACCATTACTTAATAATTAAGAGATCATACCCCCAGGAATAATGACTGAATTTTCTATGTCTCTTCTTTGATTCCACTGTTGCTCTCCCTGTCATCTAAAATGAGCATTGATTGAATGCTCCTGCCTCAGGGCCTTTGCATTTGTTCTTCCCTCTCTTTCCCCAATTAGCTGCATAATTTTTAACTCTTCAGAATTCTCCTTTCCTTAAAAGCAGTGTTATCAATGAGGCCTTCCATGAATTTTTTTCTTTTTTTTTAACACCCGTACCTTTAGTTTCTTTTTCTCCATAGCACTTAAAAACCATTATCTAGGAAACTGTATACTTAATTTTTGGTGGTTGTCTTCCTCATGAGATTGTAAACTGTGATGGCAGGGTCTGTGTTCATCCCTATAATCCTGTTATATAGAAATGTGCATGGTAAGTAAATGGAGCTTAGTAATACTGAATGATTAATAAATATATAGAGAGAGGCTGTTTCCTCAAATCTCATCACCAAAATAATTGATAGACTTTAATGGACCCTTATTCTCTCCTAAAGGATATTTTTTGGGAAAGTGTGCCCTTAAATCTGGGCAACTATTGTAATTTGAGCCTAGTGTGTAATTCTGTTTTTTTCCAGATAGACTTGCATTTATTAAATATAGTAAATAATTGGTTTGTTCTTCTTATTTGGGGGAAAGATTTAATTCTCTTGGATAGTATGACATTAAAAATAGCATTTATATCAAGGTCCTGAATGTTAACTTCATGTTGTTACCAATCAGTAATGTTTTCTTTTTAAAAATTTATTTGTAGATCTAACAGCTTCAATTCAGATAGAAACACAGGTAAGATTATTATATTTCTTCCCTTTTAGTTTTATACACTGAGCAAATAAGTACACAGAGTAAAAAATTAGTGAAGTGCTCTTTTATTTTGAAAATGAATGAGAATGTGCACAGTGTGAGAAAAGAGGATAAGGCCATGTTAGGATGTAGCACCAGCATTTGTCATCCAAGCATAAGATCACCACTAGAACCTGCTGCTTCTGGAGTAGACCAAGGGATTTTATTAGCACTTTGATAAATGTGAAAAATAAAGTTTCATGACTCAGCCTTTTAAAAACATTAAACATGTCAGAGGTTTAGGATTTAGAAGAGGTAGAGAAGATTAAAGCAATATTGACATTTCCATCTTAAAGTTTCTCCACAATGAAAAGAGTGAATAGGAAATATTAGACACTGTGGGGATTTTTGTATAGTTAACTGTGGAGGCCTTTGGGGGATAAAAGGGCAGTAACAGTTTTGTCTTTGGTCCTTTGCTTTCTGATATGAGGAAATTTAGACAAATTTTTTATTCTTTGCAGCCACACTAATTTTTCAGGGGAGAAGATACGTGAAACAAAAATCCTGATATTTGAACTCTCCTATAAATAGAATGTCAAGGGTGTTTTTTTGTTTTTGTTACTGTTCTGCTTCAACCTTGTTCTTAGGCATTTTCCCCCTCATTTCTAGTAAATAAGTTTGTTTCTGGGTTGCCAATAGGCTGAATGGTGTTGTGATTCTTTTTATTTAGATAAATTCAGCTACACCTTGTGGAAAGGACAGCTTTTAAATAAAGGAAAGCTTTTGTGTTATATTTCTCTGAGGTCAGCCACTCGTGCTTTTTTGCCTATCAAGCTGTAAGTATGTCATAAGAAAATTGCAATTAGTACTTGCTAATTCCATTTCTCTTGATTTTTCCCCTTATCTTGACAAATTTTACTTTGGTTCATGTGAACTTAAATATAAACATTGGTTTGTTTTAAAAAAGATGGGTTTGGTAACTTTGGAAACTTAATTGGCAAAATAAGCCTTCTGCTTTTCTGTCTTGATTTGTTGATGGGTTAAATAGTTGTACACATTTATGGCATAAAACTTAGTGATTTCAAATTTTAAAATTGATTTTTCAAAGCTTTGTTTCACTAGGTATATTTTCATTTAACAATTTGAACATGATAGACTTGAAAGTTACCAGTTCTTTGTTGGAAACAGCTTTGATGTGCTGAGTTAAAATTTCTAGGCCTCTTTTTAGTCCTGTGTAACATACTAGAATAGAAAGGCCTAAACCGATCTGCTTCTGCTCCCACAGTAAAGGTTATGGGTCTTCCTAAGTGTTTGAAGATTATTTTAACAGTTTATACTTGTTTTGCCTTAAATGAAATGACAACCTTTTATCCTTTGTGGTTGGTAAAACTGGCATATAAGGATGAGCTTCTGTCTTAAAGATGGAAATTTGGTAATATGAGAGTATCTATCTACCTATGTATATATCTGGGTCCCCCAAATCGTTAAAATAAACATGCTAATATAAGTATGCTCTTGTTTTCCATCAAGATGTTTGTGTGTGAGAGACAAAGAGGGGCAGAGAGAGATAACATTGCTAGAGTAGAAAACACAGGTAAGATGAACATGCTTTTTCAATTTTCTTTCAGTCCTGAGAAATTAGATGTTGAAACAGTTATGAGTATTGATCATCTGAAACAGAAAATCCCTCCAGCACTCTTTTATAAGGAAACATACTTAGGTCCAAATGAAGGTAAAGTAATTTCATTTTATTAAAATATATAAGAAACAGCTGGTTTAAATATTCACAATGTATTTTTTTCTTATGTCAGTTTTGAAGAATGGAATGTATTGCAGCCTCTATGAAGTTGTAGAGAAGACAAGAATTGGAAGTAACATGGAGAGTTTACTGCAAAAACTAGAGAAAGAAAAACTTGTGAGTAGAAGCTTTTAAGATACCCCCGTCTTCATTAGAAATATGCCTGTTACTAAGTGATTATACTAATATTTCAGTTTACTTCATTTTTGCCCCTGAAAGTCCCCCAAGGTGTGTGGGACTCAACAAATATTCATTGAATATAATTTTCTTATGTAGAGTTTATAGTTCAGTAAAGCATGAAACTAGGAGATTGTTCTCCTGGATTATGCGGGATGATAAGTGGAGTTATTCAGAGAGTTGTGGTTTGTTCCAGTAGAGACGGCCATTTTGGAAGATTCAAAAAGAACAAGGCTTTGGTGAGGTAGATGGGATGAAAGAATTCTAGAGTCACTGGGGGAAGGTGGTAGAACATGAGGCTAGAATGTGTAGGTGTGCTATGTCCTGCAGCATTGTGCAGGCAGTGTTCAGTTATTGGAAGTATGGACTTGATCCTAAGAGCAATGGGTTTTAAGGGGAGTGGGATGAGATTTTGATTATGTGTGCAACATGATATCTATGTTTTGAAAGTTTACCATGGTTACTCTGTAGAGAATGAGTTGAAGTGGGGAGATGAATAGGGGACTTACAGTTAGAGGGTGGTTATGGGTTGGAAGAGAAAGGTAAGAATGATGGAAGAGATTTACTAGGCAGTCCACAATTGAATAGAGATGGAGTATATAGAGTTTGGGTAAAGGATTAGGTCAGGCATCAGATTGTGATGGGAACAAATGGAAAATTAATGTGTGGTATTATATACAGTTCAGCTGAAGGAGAGGAGGTTGCAGAGAAGGAGAGGGGCTCTCCCAAGGTTTCTTGTAGCATGGGACAGAGGAGCTCATGTGTGTGTTGAATGAGCCATTCCAGTAAAGAGGGAGAGAAGGTGTTTTGCATAAGTATGCCATTTAATACGTTTTTTAGCAACTGACTGACTTTTATTCCTCACTTCATTGAGCCTGTTTCCAAGTAGCAAATGGATATTTATGTCAGTGATTTGCAGACATTTTTAATGGCTATGTAGAATTTGTTTATTTAGTTGAAATATCATTGATACACAATATTATATTGGTTTCAGATATATAACATGGTGGTTCAACAGACCCTTATTATTAAATCCTCACCCCTTCTAGTGTGGTTAGTGTCAACAAAGAGGGATATTATAGTTCAGAATTTTTGTGCCCCTTTCTCCCCCTTGTGCTCCGCAGCCACCCATCCTGACCCCTCCCTCATGGTGACCACCAGTCACTTCTCAGTGTCTGTGAGTCTCCAGCTATTTTGTTGATTTTGTTTTGTCTTTCTCCATACACCCTCTAGATCGATCTATGTTGCAAATGGCAGGATTTCTTTTCCTTTTTATGGCTGAATAATATTCCATTGTGTACATGTACAGCATCTTGAACCATTCATCTATTGCTGTACACTTGAGTTGCTTCCATATCTTGGCTGTTGTAAAAATGTGGCAATAGACATAGGAGTGCATATATCTTTTTGAGTCGGAGATTTTGTTTTTTTTTGGGTAATTTCCTAGAAGTGGAATCACTGGATCAAATGGTATTTCTGTTCTTTGCTTTTTGAGGAACCTCCATACTGCTTTCCATAGCAGTTGTACCAATTTACCATTCCTACCAACAGTGTAGGAGGGTCTGCATTTCTCCACATCCTTGCCAGCATTTGTTGTTTCTTGTCTGTTGGATATTGGCCATCCTAACCGGTGTTAGGTGATATCACATTGTGGTTTTTATATGCATTTCTCTGATGATTAGTGATGTGGAATACTTTTTCATGTTCCTGTTGGCCATCTGAATTTCTTCTTTGGAGAAGTGTCTGTTCAGATCCTCTGCCCATTTTTTCATAGGTTATTTTTGGCGAGGAGTGTTGAGGTATGGATGTTAACCCCTTACAGGATCAGACATTTATGAATATATCCTCCCATACTCTGGATTGCCTTTTTGTTCTGCAGATGGTGTCCTTTGCCATACAGAAGTCTTTTAGTTTGATGTAGTCCCATGTGTTCGTTCTTTATTTTGTTCTACTTGCCTGATGAGATGTGTTAAGGAAAAAGTTGTTCATGTTTATATTCAAGAGGTTTTTGCTTATGTTTTCTTCTAAGAGTTTTATGGTTTCATGACTTACATTCAGGTCTTCGATGCATTTCAAGTTTACTTTTGTGTAGCTGTCCAGTTGTGCCAACACACGTTGTTGAAGAGGCTGTTATTTCCCCATTGTATATTCATAGCTCCTTTATCATATATTAATTGACCATATATGTGGGGGCTTATATCTGGGCACTCTGTTCTTGTTCCATTGATCTATGGGGCTGTTCTTGTGCCAGTACCAAATTGTTTACTGTGGCTTTGTAGTAGAGTTTGAAGTTAGGGAACGTAATCTTTCCAGCTTTGTTCTTCTCAGGATTGTTTTGGCTATTTGGGGTCCTTTGTGGTTCCATATGAATTTTAAAACTGTTCTAGTTCTTCGAAGAATGCTGTTGGATTCTAATAGGGATTGCATTGAATCTGTAGATTGCTTTAGGCAGGATGGCCATTTTGACAATTTAATTCCTATCCCTGAGCACAGGGTGTATTTCCATATATTGGTGTCTTCTTTCTCTCGAGTGTCTTATAGTTCTCAGGGTATAAGTCTTTCACCTCCTTGGTTAGGTTTATTCCTAGGTATTTTATTATTTTTGATGCAATTGTAAGTGGAGTTTTTTTCCTGATTTCTCTTTCTGCTAATTCATTGTTAATATATAGGAATGCAACAGATTTCTGTGTTAATTTTGTATTTTGAAACTTTGCTGAATTCAGTTTAGTTCTAACAGTTTTTTGGTGGGGTCTTTAGGGTTTTCATGTCATCTGCAAACAGTGACAATTTAACTTTTTCCTTATCAGTTTGGATGTCTTTAATTTCTTTGTCTTGTCTGATTGCCATGGCTAGGACCTCCAGTACTCTGTTGAAAAGAAGTGGTGATAGTGGGCATCATTGTCTTGGTCCTGATCTTAGAGGAAAAGCTTTTGCCATTGAATATGATGTTAGCTGTGCATTTGTTGTATATGTCCTTTATTATATTGACGTTCTTAAACCCTCTATAAGCATTTTTTTGAGAGTTTTTATCATGAATGAATGTTGAATTTTGTTAAGTTTGCTTTTACAGCAACTGTTGAGATGTTTGTGTGATTTTTGTCCTTTTTGTTGATGTGGTGTATGATGTTGGTGGATTTTTTAATATTGTACCATCCTCGCATCCCTGGAATAAATCCCACTTGGGCATGATGGATGATCTTTTTGATGATTTTAATTCAGTTTGCTAATATTCTGTTGAGTATTTTTGCATCTGTGTTCATCAGGGATATTGGTCTGTAATTTTCTTTTTTTGTGGTGTCTGTCTAGTTTTGGTATTAGTAATGCTGGCCTCATAGAATGAATTTGAAAGTATTTCCTCCTCTTCTACTTTTTGGAATACTTTAAGGAGGGGTGGGCATTAGCTCTTCTTAAAATGTTTGAAAAAGTCAGCTGTGAAGCCATCTGGGCTAGGAATTTTGTTCTTAAGTAATTTTTTGTTTACCAGTTCGATTTCATTGCTGGTAATCAGTTTGTTCAGATATTCTGTTTCTTCCTGGGTCAGTCTTGGAAGGCTGTATTTATTAGAAAGTTGTCATTTCTTCTAGGTTATCCAATTTGTTGGTATTAAAATTTTTCATTGTATTCTTTAATAATTCTTTGCATTTCCATGGTGTCTGTAGTGATTTTCCATTCTCATTTCTGTTTATGTGTGTACACTCTTTTTTTCTTGGTAAGTCTGGCTAGGGTTTTATCTATTTTGCTTATTTTCTCAGAGAAACAGCTCATGCCTTCATTGATTCTTTCTTTGTTTTATTATTCTCAGTTTTATTTATTTCTGCTCTGATCTTTATTATATATGTCCTCTTACTGACTTTGGGCTCTATTTGTTCTTTTTCTAGTTTCATTAATTGTTAGTTTAGATTGTTCTCTATTCTTGAGGTGAACCTGTACTGATAAATACTTTCCTCTCAGAACTGCCTTTATTGCATCCCACAGGTTTTGGGCTGTTGAATGATTGTTTTCATTTATCTCTCTATATTGCTTAATCTATTTTAACTTGGTCATTGATCCATTGATTATTTAGGAACATGTTAAGCTGCCATGTGTTTGTGTGTTTTTTTTTGTTTTCTTTGCATAATTTATTTCTAGTTTCTTACCTTTGTGGTCTGAGAAGCTGGTTGGCACAATTCCAATCTTTTTTAATTTTTTGAGGCCCTTTTTATAGCCTAGTATGTGATCTGTTCTTGAAAACATTCCATGTACATGTGGGAAGAATGTGTATCCTGCTGCTTTTGAGTGGAGTGTTCTGTAGATGTCAAGTCCATCTATTCTAGTGTGTCATTCAGTGCCTCTTTCTCCTTACTTATTTTCTGTCTGGTTGATTGTCCTTTGGAGTGAATGGTGTGTTGAAGTCTCCTAAAATGAATGCATTCTATTTCTCCCTTTAATTCTGTTAGTATTTGTTTCACATATTTAGGTGCTCCTATGTTGGGTGCATAGATATTTATAATGGTTGTGTCCTCTTGTTGGACTGAGCCCTTTATATGTAATGTCCTTCTTTGTCTCTTGTTATTGAAATCTATTTTGTCTGATATAAGTACTGCTATTCCTGCTTTTTTCTCCAAGTTATTTGCATGGAATATCTTTCCATCCCTTCACTTTTAGTGTATGTCTTTGGGTTTGAAATGAGTCTCTTGTAGGCAGCATATATGTGGGTCTTATGTTGTTCATTTTTTAATCCATTCTGCCATTCTGTCTTTTGATTGGTGCATTCAGTCCATTTACATTTAGGGTGATTATCGATAGAATGTACTTGCTGCCACTGTAGGCTTTAGATGTGTGGTTACCAGAGATTCAAGGATAGCTTCCTTACTATCTGACAGTGTTATCTTAACTTGCTTATTACTCTATTTCAGACACAGTCTAAAGGTGGTTTTCTTCCCCTCCCCTTCTCCCTCCTC